CAAAGGGCACAATAGTCCGATGTTAACAACCTTGAAAGCATTGATGCGGAGAAACTCCTCTTATGTTAGATTTATGCTAAAATCTCTTATGCTCAAAAGTTCAAGTTTTGGCGTCAGCAGTCTCGCTCCCCTCCTCCCTCCTTTTTATGGTCTTGACTTATTTTAACTACTGAAGGCATAACATCGCCGCGTATCCTTCCTAGGGAAATGTATGAAACAACACTCAGCTTTACATGGGACAAGTCGAACAAGCTCATCAATACCCAACGGCACTACCTCAGTCATTGTCATCCCAGCATCAAAGAACCCACATGCATTGCGTAGATCGATCGTGTCTCACGTGGGCAGGTTTCCCCGAATGACTAAGCATACAGAAAACTCGGACGCCTGTCGTTCTCACCAGTGTTTCATAAGCCTTTCGCTACTACGTAAACCCTTATTTCCTCATTTACGCGCATACAAGGCGTAACTATCTACCTATCAGACAATGTCCCAGCCGTATTATACTACCCAACCAACTGTAAGTTTTTAAAGATATGTCTAATATCAGTTCTACTTTTAATAGGATTGTCAAAGAAAGTAGTGAATGAAATCTTCTTTTCCCTCTTTTTTAGAAATCATATTTTCGAATAGATTCGCTTCTCTAAAATTAGAGCGCGCAGCAAGAGAGATTACAGTAAACATAAAATCGCCAATTTTTCCTAGCATTCTGTATTAAGCAGACGATTTCACCTTTACAATAGCTACAAATGTACGTTTTTAGTTATTGCGCACACCATTCACAATATCCATTAATAACATTGGGCAAATGTAAGCCTATTTATCAATCCAGAAATTTGCTTTAATCATGAATGTTTGGATTATTAAAGCCCTGCAAATCTATTTTTAAACATATTACCATTTAACAGTCGTTTTTGCTACGCTATTTTTTAAAATCAACTAAATTTCACTCACTTCTGGACAAGTAAGTACTTCTATACAGAAGAATCTTATCAGTAATATGGACAGAGCTGCTCTACCATTGTTCGTGCTCACATATTACATACAAGACTACTACTTTTGTGTTCACTGTATCTTCGAATTTATAGCACAACAATTTGCCCAAAAATATTCGTTGGATCTCCTGACATTTCTCACTAGACATATTTCTTTTAGGGTCAGTACTACCCACAAAATCAAAATCCTTACCCTCCGCAAGGTGTCTATCCGCAAGGACAGTATTATCCAGAGACAGTGTAAGTGATCTTCTTCTTTTCCTTTTTCAAAACATTCAAGCTCATTTATAACCTGCAACTGTCTTCATTCTTCCTAACAGCAATTCCTCAGATGAGCGAAAGCACAGCATTATTTCCCCACTCT